GTTTTTTCCATTTTAATTGAAGGAGTTAAAATTAGTCCAACATTCTTGAAGTATAAAAGTTTGAGGAAAGAATGTAAAAATACTGGGCTTTTAAGGAAGGTATTTATTCAGATGATCAAGATATAAAGTGGATAAAACTGAAGTTAAATTAGCTGCGGTCGTTCCATACTCCAGTGTGACTTCAAAGTGTTAAGTAAAATAAAAAAAAATGTAAAAAAAATAATATAATTGACATGTTATAGAAGTCATAGATAGAAATTATTATTACGAGGTTTAATTACAGTATTCAATGTAAAATTTTGTTTTAAATTATTAATTAAAAATTAAGCACATTAATACAAAATATTTCAAATTATAATTTTGTATGTGCATTGTCTGTGACAATAATAGCATATTGTAATTGATATGACGTAATTTACAGGTGTAGGTATGTAGAGATACAACTAGGTAATTTGATGACTGGAGATGTAAGTAATATGGGAACTTTGTAACTAGCCAGGAAGGTAACTTGTTGAGTAGAAATATAGGAGACTAGTTAACTAAGGATATAGGAAATTATGAAACTAGGAATATAGATAATTGGGTTACATATCTAATTAATTAGGGATATAGGTATGTAGGAACAAGGGTAATTAGATAATTTAAAAATTAGGAGTATAGGGATCTAGAGATATAGGTAACCTGGTAATTGCATAACTAGGGATATGGGGAATTGGGGAAATAGGGAACTGGATAGCTGTTAGCTAGAAGAGTAGAAAAGTAGAAAACTTGAAAAGTAGAAAACTAGGAAACTGGAAAAGTAGGAAACTACAAATGTAGAAAACTGGAATACTAGAAAACTGGAAAAGTAGAAAACTAGAAAACTGGAAAAGTAGAAAACTAGGAAACTAGAAAACTAGAAAACTAGAAAACTAGAAAACTAGAAAACTAGAAAACTAGAAAACCAGAAAACCGGAAAACTAGAAAATTAGAAAATCAGAAAACTAGAAAACTAGAAAACTAGAAAACTAGAAAATTGAAAAAGTAGAAAACTAGAAAACTAGAAAACTGGAAAACTAGAAAATCAGAAAACCAGAAAACTAGAAAATTAGAAAACCAGAAAACTAGAAAACCATAAAACTAGAAAACTAGAAAACTAGGAAACTAGAAAACTAGAAAACCAGAAAACCAGAAAACCAGAAAACTAGAAAACTAGAAAACTAGAAAACCAGAAAACTAGAACTCCGAGAAATAGAAAACTATACTGAAAAGTATGAATATAGGGACCTACTCAATTAAAGAACTAGGCAACTATTACAGTTACCTTTACAGAAACTATTTCACAAACTTTATTTTCACAAAGTACATCAACATAGTAACTATAATTGTATTCCTTTCTCGTCCAAATTGCTGCAATAATAATTAAGAGCATTAATCAGTTCAAGCACAAAATCATCCGCTCCCAACATTTCATTACCGCGATAACGTCAAAATGAAAAATCCACGAAAATTTCACTGCGAATACCCTGAAATTAGGTCCGACATCGTGGATGATTAATTCTTGAAAATTGATCAAAAGGCATTAACGGTCGCACAAACAACAACGACCAAGTAAATAACATAAAAATTCCTACGTGTGCTTTAACGAGGACCAACACGCGAGTCGACTGGAACGTTGTCTGACCATTATCAGACTATAACTACTGCACGAGCTTCGTTGCCACGTCTGATATGATCAGTCCGCAACCACTGACAATGGCCCGGCCTGTATTCGCTTGTTCTTTTCACAGCCGCATCGATGTAGGTCATGGTAACATTATATTCAGGATTTTTTACAATGCGACCGCTGAATTACTGTATAGAACCATTCTACACCCACCCGCCTTTCTCTCTTCTTTATTCTTCACCTTCTTTCATACGTTCTCTCCACCCACCTTCTCCTTAGTTTTTCTCATTTCGGCCATTTTAATTCTTTATCCTCCCCCGTTTATTGGACCTGCTTTATGCTCTCTTTTTCATTTCTTCATTCTTTTTCCCTCGTTCATTATTTCTCTTATTACTTCTTTGTTCTATTTTACTGATTACTTATTAGTTTTGGCCTTTTCCGATTTTACCATACAATTTATTTGTCAGGTGTTATTCGTATTTACGATATTAAGACCAATAACGAGAGTTTAACGGTAGGTTTACGGACTTATATTTAAATTTGAACTGAAGTAGAAAAATAAATAAATTGGGGATGACAGGTTTACGGATCTACCTATGGATCTGCCTAAGACATTGATTCTTCAGCTTCACGAAAGTTGATATTTTTACAAAAATTTCTAGATAAGTTTTGTCGTTTAATATGCGAGATCTATGGTCTGTCATTTTATTCCACAAATCTAGTGTTATATGCCATATCAATTTTCAGGGATTCTTAACTTTGTAAATTTCTCCTGAAGTTTTCAAAATTCGAAAACATACAATTTCCTGAATTCTTAAACTTTTAAATTACTAAAGTTTTGTATCTTATGATTAAGTTTAAATTTTGAAGTTTAAAGTTTAAATTTATTAAGTTTTCAAGTTAAATAAATTCCGAAATTCTTAAGCTCTTCATACTTGTTAAATTTCTCAGGTTTACAAATTCTCAAGTAGATTTTTAAATAATCAGTTTCTTAAATCTTCTTATGTGTAAATTTATGTATTCCGAAATCCCAAAACACTTTGAACCTCAGTTCCCCAAACACCTAACTCTAAAAATTTTCAAACTCGAGAAGTCCATAAAAATCAACAAGTGAGACATCTTTTCTCACTTGGTTGCCATTTCCTCTTCCTTAGGGAAGCCAGATTTACTCTTGACTGCACTGAAAAACATAGTTTATTTCGAGTGACTGACTACAGCTGAAGATAGCTGAAACCGAATTATTCGTGTATGTAAAATAGTAACTACAGGAACATTTTAAATTGGTCTATGTTTACTTATAATCTAATTAAGAAGGTATTATACAATATTAATAGAAGGTATATTAATATCAACCACAGTTTGTGTACTGCTTAACCTCTTCACTTATATAATATCCCACACGTTTCGTGACGCACATAACTGAGCTGTTTATTCTGAAAGTAGCTTAAATCCAGTTACGTTTAAATTATAAATAATATTTTAAAAAAGAAAAAAGAAAACTACTATATTGTATTTCTTGCGGAAAACATTCAATTGTTGTTTTAAACATTTTCTTACAACTCGAAAGCATATTTTAAGTCATTCATATTATGAAGTATGCAATATTTGAAAATTTGTTTTTACAATGATGTACAACTTATTCAAAATTGCCACATATGCCTCACATACTTGAAATGACTCACGTTGCAACAAGGAATATGTTAGGATATATAATATCAGTAATCACATATACATATAATAGTCTGTACATTAATCAGTAATCATATGCACATATAATAATCTGTATATTAATCAGTAATCATATATGTAGACATATAATAACCTGTATATTAATCAGTAATCATACATGTACACATATAATAACCTCTGTATTAATCATATATGTACACATATAATAACCTGTACATTAATCAGTAATTATAGATACATTAATCATAACAATAATAATAAGTACGTGGTATTTTCAGAAACATAAATTATGAAAAAGCTCTCTTAAAAAATTGACACATCTCGAATTGTGCCACCCTGAATACGAAGCAGCGATACACGTAACAAGTATGCACAGTAGGAGATCTAGTTCCATCTTAGAAATGTTAAATTCCGAGAACAATGCGTTCCGCTCGTACAAAATGCAAATAATCCCCATCGTAGCGAACAGATACGTCTCATAAGAGACTAACGGGAACAATACGTCAGGTTCTCGGTGTTCATACTTCAAAGGGATCAATTTCTGCGAACAATGGTTCCGCGAATAATTTTCTATGCCGCGATCCGGCCGATGATCCACCACGTTCACAATGGCCACGACGAGAGAGAATCTTGCTGGAAATTAACTCTCGTCCCCTTTCTTTTTTTTTCTGACACCACCTACGGGAACTCTGTTCCCGGAATCCTGAAAAATGCTTCAACCTAAATTCCATGAATTCGCCTGATTATATCTCCGGAGGAGAATAGGATTCCGTCGAACCACGGTTACAAAAGATCCATTGTCGGGTTAAAGGAGGACGAACAGTGTAGATCCCTGTTATGGCATACGAAACCTTTCGAATATACTTCCTTGTAAGTGTATTACATATTCATATGTAAACATCTGATCGCGATAAAAGCGTTCAACGGTGCTTTGTCCGCGACTGGTCTGCGATGTACGAAAAAGGTAAAAGAAGGGTAAGAAAGGAGCATCAAATAAGAGAGGAACGAGATAAATTTTAGAAAAGAGAGGATGTAAGATACATTGGAAAGGGATTATATATAAATATAGAAAGAATAAAATACAAAATATGAGAAGAAATAAAATATAAGATATAATGACACATACATGTTATATGTTAATAACATACATATGTATATGTAACGTATATACATGTATAAATAAAAAGAAATAGAATAGCGAAACAGTTGGAAACTAATTTTACTTTCTGTATGTGAAATGAAGGATATATTTTTGCTAATTCTATCTACATTTAAGTGATTTAAAATAACGGAGCACCTCATTCACATATATTATTTTGTTTTTATATTAATGTTAAATTAATTACCTCTCAGTAAAAGTTAATCCATTCAACTGCACATGATGAAATATTAATAACGAAATGCTAATCCATAGAACAGAACATAGTGATTTAGTATATGAGTTTCAGATAATGCACATGTAATGACGGGAGCGTCAATTAGAATCTAATTTTCCAATAAAAGTACCTTTATGTAAAAGCTCTCATGTTTTTAAAAATTTCAATCTTACTCATTTCACAAGAAGTTTGATGATCATTGTAGTTTTACTGAAATTTTCAATGACGTTCAACCATGAAATAATTTAGACGTTCACATGAAATAATACCGTTTTTTAAATGTGTTTCAGCGATCACTCGATAAGCAATCGCGTGGATCGACGGGGTCATCCGCCATACTGCGAGTGCGGCGAAGTAACCAGGCCCTTATGACGACGAGAGGAAACGGCCGAGAGTGCTTTGGCTACGTCGCAATCCGACTATTAGGCCTAATTCTTTCACTTCCACTCTCCCTAACCTCGGTCGTTTTAAATCCAACCTTTTTTCCATCGAATCATCGCACCTTGTACGTTACACCCGACCCTACTCTTCCACTAGCACCCCGAACACGTGGACACACATGTACAAACTGACACGTGCAGCACCGTGCAAGGAGCAGAACAAGTCAACAGGTACAGAACGAGGAAACGATCCCTTGGGAAACAGTGATATCTAGCTGTTCCAGTTAACGATATTCGAATGTAACAATGAATATAGATGAATATTGTTGTTTTCTAAAAAAGAACTCACAGGTTGCAGCAGTGAGAAATATCTGGTACTCTTTTTTTAATTGAATGCTTAAGGTCACGTGCACCTTCTTACGTTATTAGTGACCGCGTTTGATTTGGGACTGTGTCGTATTTTTATTTCTGACAAATCTTATCAAATGTTTATGCAATATTTTATGTTTATTGTTCGCAGTTGCAAGTAATACGAGTATTTGGTACGTGAGTACTATTGTAAAAAGATGTTATTAACACTGGATTTATGGAACTCAAAAAGGATGTCTTATGACAAGTTATGGAAATTGTTAAGCGACATTTGTTAAAATTTAATATTTGCGGTGAAGAATGTTTATGAGAGATACATTGTGTGGGCAAGTTTGTATATTTATTTTTTTGATTTTCTTTTAATTTATAAATAAGGTCTGTAAATCTGGTGTTAGTGAATGAATTTGTCGAAGAGTCTATGACATGAGGTTATGCGAGGTTAAGTGACTTTAAGTAATTAAATTTGTGTTTAACAATATTCATTTTTAACAATACGATTAATATTGAAGAATATCTACGCGATCATTCTTCTATATTCATTCTTGCAAAATTGAAGAAATATTCATTCTGTGTGTACTAATCTTTTTCAGTCGAGATGATGCGTACACATAATAACTTCGATCACTTCCAATTATATAATATTTTATGTGAAATTTTCTTTATTATGTCACAATTATAAGTTTCCAATTACAGGGTAAAATTATTATGGTTAATTACAGTATTTTGATTGTTAATTTTGCAGTGTAACCCTCGTCAGTTAAAATGTTCTATATTTCCATTTTTCAAAAAATTTCGAAATATTTTCTAAAATTTGATATTTTTTTTACTTTTCACCAAAACTTGAATATCATTTGTAAGAGATAAAAAATATAAGCTTGTTGCAATCGTTTTTCTGATTATTTTATTATCTCTGTTGCTTCGAAATACTAGTAAGGTAATGGAACTAAGGGCATTATAAAATTTGTCAAATATTAATAATTTTTTTTTATACGAAGAGAAATATAAAATCAATTAATGTTATTTTGTTATAAAATTAATGTTATAATTAGTGTTATAACATCAATTAATATTTATTAATGTTATTTTTATTAAATATATAAACCTGTAAATATAAACTGAAACGTTATCTCTTTAAATATTATCCCTTGTTATTTTTAAGAACAAAAATAAATTTTATTTGCAAAAGCTGTAATATAAATCGTTGAAATTTTCAAAGGTATAAAATAGCACTTAAAAAAATGATCGTAAAAGTTAGAACTATAATCTTTGTATCAAAATTATTATTGTTATCGATACAGCAAAGTTAAAACTTCTATGAATAAAGTTTTTTCATAAAATTCTTAAACTGTTGCACATAACTAAAGTGATCGAAGTTATTACCATATTTTGTATACTGCATCATTGAAAAGCAATTACTAATTACAAAAAGTATTCGTAAAAGTAATAATAAAATTTTTCTAAAAGGAGATTTGAAAGAAGCAATATAATATATTGTTAATATTTCAGGGTGAACATTTGTTGACAATACTGAAATATTGTCAATACGATACTATTAGTCATAAAACATTAAAAACCATGAAACATTAACAATGTACTAATATTAATTATCTATGATCTCCATAAGAAGATCAAAATAAATTATTAAAAATATCGTTTATTTAATTTTAACAATCGATTTGTAAATATTAAAGTGAAAAAGTATTTACTTTCTTATGTTTTAAGTTTTTATAATTACAGTAATAATTGAATATTAATTTCAAGTACTGGCATGGGACGTGAAAGAAAATGTTTTAAATAATAGAAAATCATCAAAATCAATTTTATAAAAATTGCGTTAAAAATTTACTCATACAAATTTGTCAAATATACTCTTCTTTAATTTGTCATGTGATTATTGTGCAAATTAATGAGTTTTCAAATTAATGAATTCATTTTGAAACTTTTCAAAAGTAAAACTAACGTGACAATAATGAAGCTTGAGAAACTTTTGTTGAATTTATTCATGAAACATTTAATGCCCCTCGTTAAATGAATTTTTAAGTTCCTGAAAGTTTCATGTACAATGACCAATGCAATGTTGTAGCTACAATTAATTTTATTTTTAAATTTCCAAATTTAAACGTTTAGTGATTTAGGTAGTTAGTAATTGAAAAATTGGGAAACATAAATGTTTGAAAAATTGAGATTTTTGGAATTTGGAAAGTTGGTGGTTGGAAATTGTAGAAATTTATGAAATTTGAGAATTTGGGAATTTGGAATTTTAGAATTATGCAATTCTGAAGATTTGAAAATTTGCAAATTCGGGATTTTGAAGTTTTGGAATTTCAGAAATTTGGAAATTTGCAAATTTTGGAATTTTAGAATTTTGGACTTTTGGAATTTTGGAATTTTGGAATTTTGGAATTTTGGAATTTTGGAATTTGGAAATTTTAGAATTTGGAAATTGGAAATTTTGGAATTGGGAAATCTTGGAATTGGAAAATCTTAGAATTTGGAAATTTTGGAATTTGAAAATTTTGGAATTGGGAAACCTTAGAATTTGGAAATTTTGAAATTGGGAAATTTTGGAATTTGGAAATTTGAGAATTTGGGAACTTGAGAACTCGAGAATTTGGAAACTTGAGAACTTGAAAACTCTTTAATTTGACTCCTTCAAAATTCAAAAATCTAAGAATATCGATATTTTGAAATTTCGCAACCTAAAAATTTAGAATTCTAAAAATTAAAATATTTGAAAACCTAAACCTGTCAAAATACAAGAAAACCAGAAAGTTGAACGAATAACCTAAAATTTTCTAGAATTCGAACGCAAAACATATGAATATTTATCAATTTACCAATAAATCCACCATCTATATTTTTCGTCACGTTCCATGTCACACAACGCAGATAAAAACCCGAAATACAACAATCGAATAAATAAAAAAAACCGAGGGATTGTTTCCTTGCAAAAAAAATTATATAAAATCAACAGGACACGATGTCCTAAAACTACTAAGTTAGAAACTAGGTTATGTAACTGTAAAATGGCGATAGTTGAACTGCATAACTGCCCGTTTAAGTCCGACGAAAGACGAGCGATCGAAAACTCGATCGAGAATCATCTTAAGATTTATTTTTTATTAGCTCGTAAGAGGTTGTTACAGGGCTATGGTTGATCTAACTCGAAGCACCATTTTTCTCGAGGAGCCTTCCTTCTTCTGCGAACTTCCTTTTATCCGAATATGAAATTGAAATAAACGTTGAGATTATACAGAATACCAGCCAGGTATCAAGTGGAAATAAAAATTGATACTGTACCATACTTCTGAAAAATATTTTCCTCTATCCAATAATAGTGGAAATTTTTGTTGACTCTTTGTTGCATTCTGTTGCATAAATGGTACGTGGAATATACTATAACATTAGGTTTTGGTAAATGTAATCGAATAGCAAATTTTGAAGTTAAATTTGTAATTCGAACATTGTAATTGCAATCAAAATTTTGTAACTAAATTTGCAATAAAAATTTTGTAATTAAGTTTGTAATCGAAAGCTTGTAACTAAATTTGTATCAAAATTTTGTAATTAAATTTGTAGTCAAAATTTTGCATTGCATTTTAGAAAAATTAAAATTTTCTATTGAAGACAATTATCTTTTTGATTGGATACAATTAGATACATTAATGGAGTGTTTTTTCAAGATTTTACAAATTTGAAATATCGTATCATTTTTCAACATATATGATTACATATATTACATATTTTCATGTAATATATGTTTACATTATTTCTTAATATGGTACACACATAAATATATGAGATAATTATATTATTTTTTGTTATAATATATGTGAAATAATTATATTACTTTTTGTTATAATATACACTGCTCAAAAGAAATATGGCATAGAAAAAATTTAGGCAAAAATTGGCCAAATTTGACTGATGATAACTCCGTGAAAAATCATCGCAAAGTTATGCTCTTTTTTTTAAATTAAAGCTTGAGATCTCTACTTTAAGACCCTGTAGTTTGATTTTAGATTTGATGCATCCCTACCACAATAACACCGTAAATGTGAGGTCATGTTTGCAATATTGAAAATTACAAAGTTTGACGAAATGCATGGACTTGCCACATTTTTTTTTGGCGATACTGTTTACAGGAGCATAAAGTACAAACCTTTATCTTTAATTT